GGAAATAGAAGGAAATGAGAAAGAAAAGGGAAGAGAGAAAAGAAGAGAGGAAATGACAAAGAAAAGGAAGTAGAAAAAAAAAAGTAAGAAAAAGAAGAAGGAGACGGGAGGCAGAAGAGAAAAGAAAGAAAGGAAGAAAGGAAAAGAAAGAGAGAAAGAAGAGAAAATGAGGAAAAGGAAGAGAAGTGGTGATATATATAAGGCTTATACGGACCGTTTCGGTCCGTATAATCCTTATTGGCGCGCCGCAACAAAAAATTTCAATTTTTCGAGAAAATTTTTGGCGCATTAATAATATTCAGACTAAAATCAGTCTAAATACAAATAAATTAGCGCAGCATCAGAAAGATTCAAATTTATGGTAAAAATTTGGCGCATAAATTAATTACGGACCATAAGGCTTATACGGACCATTTTCGGTCCATATAATCCTTATTGGCGCCTTGCGACAAAAAATTTCAATTTTTTCGGGAAAATTTTTGGCTTATTAATAATATTCAGACTGAAATCGGTTTGAATATAAATAAATTAGCGCAAAATCAGAAAGATTCAAATTCACAGTAAAAATTTGGCGCATAAATTAATTACGGACCGATTTCGGTCCGTATATGTATTTACAATACAAGGGATCACATTAATATATTCAAATCGATTTTGGTCCGAATATATTGGGAAAAAAATTCACAGGGCACATTTTTATTCTTTTCATTTAAGGACATCACCATTTTCTCATGTCCTCAATCCATTCCTGCGAAAACTAATTGGATGTACATCAACCCTACAATTCCTTAGAACCACGAAAGCATTGATTGTCTACCTAAAATTATCTTATAATGATACTGAATAATATCGTTGCAAAACCACAAATATATAAGTTTCAGGTTATTAGAGATAATGTTACGTAATGCACTTTCGGAGTAATAAGCAAATAAAATTAATTTTTTTTCTTAAGGTTAACCACTTTGACTTGCAAACATTCAGAATGTTACGGTTTAAAACGAGAGTAGAACGACTTAAGCATAAAATAACAAAAAAAATAAAAAGTGTTGTTCAGGGGATATTACGAACCGATCTTGGTCCGAATATAGGCAATCTGAGGGATTTTTTACCCTAGAGCTAAATTAAATTAAGTATGAATATATATATACGGACCGGTTTTGGTCTGAATATATGCAAAGAATCCAGAAGCTTCCATGCTTTTCATTTTTCAGACCGATTTTGGTCCGAATATACTAGAAAAAATCTAGAAACTTCTCCCAGTGCACATTTTTATTCTTTTCATTTAAGGACATTATCATCTTCTCGTGTTCTAAATCCATTCCTGCGAAAACCAATTGCATGTACATCAACCCTACAGTCCCTTGGAACCACAAAACCATCGATTGTCTACCTGAAATTATCTTACGATGGTACGGAGTAATATCGTTGCAAAACCACAAACGTATAAGTTGAAGGTTATTAGAGATAATGTTATGTAATGCTACTTCGGAGTCACAAGCAAATAAAATTAATTTTTTTTATTTAGGTTAACCACTTTGGCTTGCAAACATTCGAAATGTTACGGTTTAAAACGAGAATAGAACGACTTAAGCATGAAATAACAAAAAAAATAAAAAACTGTTGTTCATGGGCATATACGGACCGATCCCGGTCCGTATAGATATATATGGACCAGTATCGGTCCGAATATAGGCACTCAAGGGATTTTTTATCTTAGAGCTAAATTAAATTAAGTACGAATATATATACAGACCGGTTTTGGTTTGAATATATGCAAAGAATCCAGAAACTTCAATGCTTTTCATTTTCCAGACCGATTTTGGTCCAAATATACTAGAAAAAATCTAGAAACTTCTCCTAGTGCACATTTTTATTCTTTTCATTTAAGGACATTACCATCTTCTCGCGTCCTAAATCCATTCTTGCGAAAACCAATTGCATGTACATCAACCCTACAGTCCCTTGGAACCACAAAACCATCAATTGTCTACCTGAAATTATCTTGCGATGGTACGGAGTAATATTATTGCAAAACCACGAACGTATAAGTTGAAGGTTATTAGAGATAATGTTACATAATACTCTTTCGGAGTCACAAGCAAATAAAATTAATTTTTTTTAATTAGGTTAACCACTTTGGCTTGCAAACATTCAGAATGTTACGATTTAAAACGAGAGTAGAACGACTTAAGCATGAAATGACAAAAAAAAAAAAAGCTGTTGTCCAGGAGCATATATGGACCGATCTTGGTCCATATATATATATACGGACCAGTATTGGTCTGAATATAGGCACTCCGAGGGATTTTTTATCCTAAAGGTAAATTAAATTAAGTATGAATATATATACTTAATAAAAATTATACTTATTTGGTAAGCATAAACATATATACATGAAAAATTTTAAAGTTGACAAAATGTAACTTTGAAAAAAAAATGAAAAAGCTGTTGTTCAGGGAATATACGGACCGATCCTGGTACATATACATATATACGGACCGTTATCGGTCCGTATATGAAACTTAAAGAAAAGAAAAACAATAAAAAATAATGAAAACAGATTTATTTTATTTAATAATTACATAATATTACCAAATAATGCAAAAATATATTTTACCATTCAAAATAAATGCATTTATAAAAAAATAAAATATGCTTGAAATAATGACTTAAAATATGTAAAAGTTTAATTATATTATACGTGAAAAATTTTAACATAGAAAAAAAATAAAAAAGTTGCTGTTCAGGACATATACGTACCGATCCTGGTCATCGGTTCGTATAGCTATATATGGACCGGGATCGGTCCGTATATATCATTTAAAGAAAAAAAGTAATAAAAAATAAAAAAACAGATTTATTTTATTTAATAATTACATAATATTACCAAATAATGCAAAAATATATTTTACCATTCAAAATAAATGCATTTATAAAAAAAAAATATGCTTGAAATAATTACTAAAAATAATGACTTAAAATATGTAAAAGTTTAATTATATTATACATGAAAAATTTTAAAGTTCACCAAATGTAACTGTAATATCCCAAAATTTTGGGGATATTTTAGCATTAAGTAAGGGACTTAATTGAGGAAAAATTTTATTTTGGGGCTTAATTGTAAAATTTTAAAAAGTTGAGGGGCCAAAAAGAAAGGAAATTAAGATAAGGATGAATTGCTTTTTCTTTTTCTTTTTCTTCTTTCTTTCTTCCTCCTCAGACCCGCGTGGCCTGCTCTTCCTCTTTCCCCCCGACCCTCTGCACCCGACGAGACCCGTTACTGCCTCCCTTTTTCAGGCCGGAAATCCGGCAAAGCTTGGGGATTTCTCCCTATTTTCTTGTTTTAAAACACCTGTTGAACCCAGAAATCTCCCTCCCCTGCTGGAAAATC